TTCTGGACACGAATGAGGATCCTGATGATTGTTCATGAATATTGTTGATGAATATAGGTGTATTTCTGGAAAATGATTCATGATGATTGATGAAGGCGATGAAGATTAGTTGATGAAGGTTTGGATGGAAACTGGGGAAATGGTGAAGAATGTTTGAATTGGATGAATTTCCCGATGGAAGTTGCAGTTTCGGCGATGGTTATGGATTTCCGGCGACAGTTACCGGTGAAAATTGGCCGTGGAAGATTTCTCCGGTGAAGCTCTGGCGAGCTTGCATGGTCGGCGGTGAGGGGAGAGGTGAGTGGGAAACGTGGCGTGATGCATGCGAAGGAGAGGGTGAGTGGGTGGACGCGTGGAAGAAAGAGAGCATGCAGAGAGAGAGGAGTGGACAAGTGGAAGGGTGAGGTGTCAGGGAAGTGGTGAGTGCTGAAGTGAGTTGGCAGCGAGAGAATGCACACGCTTGGCCAATTTATATAATGACATGTGGCGTTGGACTTTTGTTGGGCCCTACGAATTGGACATCTGGCTCATTACTTAATGATTCAATTAATGAACTAATTAATGATTAAGGGCTCTATTAAATCTAATGACTGCAACTAATGGTTAATTAACTGCAACTAATTTGATTAATACCCTAAGTGACATCTAATTAATCCTATTAAATTCTAAACCCAAATTCAATTAAAATCTACAAAATGAATTAAAACAATTAATGTATAACAAATTCAATTAATATCTAAAAATGAATTAAATCTATCAAATATCCTATTAATTCTAAAATGAAACAATTAACATCTAATAAAATTCTAAAAAGAGAAGAATTTAAAATCTATTTTTAAAAAAATTCTAAAAAAAGAAATATCTATTAAACTATTTTAAAAAAGAAATATCTATTTAAAAATTCTAAAAGAAACTATTATATCTAAAAATGAATTATTCTAAAAATAGCAAATTGTTATTAAAATTCTATTAAAAGAATTAAAATCCTAGAAAAACAATTAAAATTCAATTAAAATTCTAGAAAATAAAAGGGAAAATTCTAAAAATGTCAGGAAGCCAACTAAATCGATTAGAAAACAGATACGCGACCAGCGAAATAAGCGGTAAAAAAACCGGACACCGAGATGTCCTCAAAAACAACAGCGAGAGCTGAAAACACCGAGACGAGCACAAATTCTCAAAATACACTCTCGTATTCGAACTGTCCTGAACTGCCTGAAACGTCAGGGGAGGCTGTAATCCCGATAAAATCAGTCTGACTGCAAAAATGCAATGGATGCGGTATGTAAATGCGAATGCAGAATGCGTCGAAACATAAACCAGATGGGGAAACCGGTTGGTCAAATTTTGGGGTGCAACACCACTTACTACCACAACCTACTCTTGAGTATCTACAAGATGTTCATGGTGCACAACATTTAGCAAGGAGTGAGAAACAATATTCCATATTAACATTGTAAATAATGCTAAGGTAAAGAAATATAGAACAAATATACATTTATTACATAATCAATAACCACATATTCTCACACCCATTCAACAAAACATACACGTATTTTCAGCCAAAAAACTACCTTTGGAATAATCAACAACATATATAAGCATGTATGTAATGCATCTAAAACTGACTTATTATGCATGATGTACCATTTATGAACACTATCAATCAAAAAAATCACCAAGAACCTCCATGAGGTAGCTGTGCGTGTTAGTTTTCCAACACTTTGAACGACGTCTCATTTGGACCTACAGAACAGAAGTTACGGCCAAAATCGACAAAGGGGTCAACCACCCGAAACAGGAGCCAATCAATTGCACCAGAGGGGGCAATCACTGTCTCAGCCCGCTGCCAGCGAATTTTTTAAAATTGTAAGTGAACCAATACCATGTTTACTGTAGTGAATATAATGGTTTATAGCCAATAGATTGGTTCAGTCAAAATTCAGTTTTTCACGTGTCAGTAACAACAACCAATAGATTGTTTATTGTAGCCAATAGATTTATTCAGCCAACTTTTAGTGTTTTTCAAAGGAACCAATAGTTGTTTACTGTACCCAATATATGGGTTCATTCAAAATTCATTTTTTTACGTTTCAACAACTTTCCTCACTTTCAATCCTCACCCAAACACACCCTAACACCTAAACAATTTATCTCCAAAATTTAACAACAAATCATGTCATCATAATCTTTAAGGTGTACTTCACCTATCTCATCATCATTATAACAATTTCATAATCAAACTCAACATCAATTTTCATCAATACATGAATAAAACTCAACATTCAAGCCTTCATCCATGGCAGAAAATTAAATATGCATAAACAAGATGATTCACACATTGACTAAGTCACAATAACCACATAATCAACATAAGCAATCATCAATTTCATATATGAACACAACAACACATCCAAAATAGAATTATACAATCCTAATGAGAACAATAACCTCTCTTCTCTACCCCATCATGTAATACACACATATTGATAGCCCTTTCTCTCCACTTACCTTGTAATTCTAGCAAAAATCAGTAAAGAAAGGTTCAATTGATTTTCTTCTCTCAAGTTCTAGCACTCCCTTCCAAAGCATTTTTCTGCAATTTCTTGATTTCCACGTACCGATAGAATGAGTCATATTTCTCCCTAATTTTCTAATTATGATAACAAAACTCCAAAATTTTGAATTTACCTTTCTATCCTCCCTTAATCACAAAAAACCAACAATTCCATTCCTTTTTTATTTCCTATATTTAACTATTCCATTCTTATTATTTTACCTCTAATAATAAAATTAAATTCACTAAAACTGTTACTACTCCTATTATTTTATTTAATAATTAAAACACAACTATTTTAATTATTCTGCCACTTCTACACTATCACCGTACTACTTTATTCTTCTCAACCACCTCACTACACCCCCTCACACATAAATAAATTATTAAATTTAAACTAATTAAAATATGTGAAATCATTTAAGCACGCTAAATCACTCAAATACGTAAATTAATTTAATTAAATAATTAAACAAAAAACTGAGGTGTTACACTTAACGATGTTGCAAATGCTTTTCTTCATTGCTTTGTGGTTCAGTTAGGCCTATGCATAATAGACTTCACAATTTCATGTAAATTAAGAGAAACAAACATAATTCTCCTGCTATCATATCCAGACTCAAATCTATTCACAAATTAAGAATTTGATGTTAGAAACTTGCAAAATAAGTCACTAAGTGTCAAATTTCAATGTGATCAAATACCATATTTTTGGCACTTATCTGTGGTAGATTTTTCTAAAAGGGCAAATAGAAGGTGTATATTAGTCAAAGTGGATTTTGAGAAGGCTTATGATTATGTTTGTTGGGACTTTCTTAAAAGTATGATGAAAATAATAGGTTTTGGCATGAAGTGACGTGGGAGGATGGAAGAGTTGGTGTTTAATAGCTCTATGTCCGTTTTTGTTTATATGAGTCCTACATTGGATTTTAAAGTGTCTAGAGGTTTAAGACAAGGGGGTTGTATTTTTCCTTTTCTTTTTCTTTTGGTTGCGAAAGGTTTTTCCGGTTTAATGCACCATGCAGTTTCTTAGGGAGAATTTGAAGGTTTCCACCTTGACGACTCTATTCACTTTAATTTGTTGTAATTTGCGAATAATACCATCTTAATTAGAGAAGGATCTTGGATGAATATTTGGACCATCAAAACCTTACTTTTGGGTTTTTAGTTGGTTTCGGGCCTCGGGTGAATTCGTCTAAAAGCAAATCGTTTGGGATTAATCTTGACTCTTATTTTTTTGCAGGCAGTTGCGACATTTTTGCCTTCTGGGTTCAGTTCGATTCCCTTTATGTTTTTTGGGCATTCCTATTGGCAATAATCAAAGAAGAAAATATTCTTGGGTTGTGATTATTTCCAAGTATAAAAGAAGATTGATGGTGTGACAATAACCTTACTTTTTGTTGGTCAATTTAATCTTGTAGGAATTTCATTCTCTATAAGGGTAGTACTCTTATAACTTTGGATGCATTGAGTTTTTTTTAAGGTTTTAACTTGGGATCGGTTCAATGTTTTTCAAAGAAAATGGAGGAATATTACTTGGGTTGATTGGTGCAATAATTCTGGTGCTTGTTGGCGGTAGTTCTTGTTTCCTAGTTTTTTTTTGTTGGTTGTTAGTTGTGAGTTGGTTTTTTTAGTTTTTCTTAATCTCTTGATTGTATAAGGATAAGCACTATTAATGCTTCTTTTTAATTTCAAGTTGCCAACTGCTTTTAAAAAGATATATAATATCTACAAAGAAACGGTGACAATGTAAAAAAAATCTAAACAAATATCAAATGATTTCAAAAGCTAGTTGAACTTTTTAATCTACCATACATCTAAGCGAGAAAAAAAAGGGAATAAGAGTAGTCTTTTATATGCAATAAGAAAACTCAAATTTCTTATTCTATTCTTCCTTTCGAAAAGCTCTTAAGGAGGCCAAGATTATTTTCCATAATATAGGACATCTTTATCGACGAATATGAAAGAGTTGAAAAGTATTTGAGCAAATACAAATTAACTGTATACTATTTGAGAATGATAAGGGAATACATTGCTCTCCTTGCCACCCCTTTGGACCAGAAGGACGCATTGACTAATAAAAAAATCTCTAAATCTCACTTGGTTCACTTTGGCCTCATACAATATTTTTGCAGTATAACAACATAAAAAATTATGAATTGTAAATAAAAAGAAAATCCAAATTAGTTTAAATTTATTATATATATATATATATATATATATATATATATATATATATATATATATATATATATATATATATATATATATATATATATATATATATATATATATATATATATATATATATATATATATTAACACTTACACAAACTTGCATACATCACACATTACACGCCACATCACGATATTGAGATACACAAGCGATTATTGGCTTAGATATTCACAACTTTAAGATATGATCTTAGAGGTGTTTGTTTGTTTAGGTTATAAGGGAGATGCTGTCAGAAATCAACTCAGAGGTGATAAACTTATTTGCGGTCTCAGTGTGATGAAGACCATCCCAAAATACATATTTAGATGCATTAGGACATAATCTTACAAAAGTCTTTTTATTATTATATGATGATGTAAAAGTTTTGTCTAGGAAGCTCGTCCCAAAACAACCCTTTCTTGTTTCAGAAAATCCTGCAAATGAAAGAGTACTCATGTTACATGACATAAAAGATAAAATAAATGAATTAGAACATAAGGGTTGGTAGGATAGTTCAATGGATATGTTTTATTGAGTTAAATTAATGTAAATTGTTTGTATAAAATTTAATTTCTGACCATGTTATTTATTTGTATTTATATATTAATATAATATCTACACAGAAACGGTGACAATGTAAAAAAAATCTAAACAAATATCAAATGATTTCAAAAGCTAGTTGAACTTTTTAATCTACCATACATTTAAGCGGAAAAAAAAAAGGAATAAGAGTAGTCTTTTATATGCAATAAGAAAACTCAAATTTCTTATTCTATTCTTCCTTTCGAAAAGCTCTTAAGGAGGGCAAGATTATTTTCCATAATATAGGACATCTTTATTGACGAATATGAAAGAGTTAAGAAACATTTGAGCAAATACAAATTAACTGTATACTAATTAGGAATGATAAGGGAATACATTGCTCTCCTTGTCACCCCTTTGGACCAGAAGGACGCATTGACTAATAAAAAATTCTCTAAACCTCACTTGGTTCACTTTGGCCTCATACAATATTTTTGCAGTATAACAACATAAAAAAAGTTATGAATTGTAAATAAAAAGAAAATCCAAATTAGTTTAAATTTATTTATATATTAATTAACTCTTACGCAAACTTGCATACATCACACATTACACGCCACATCACGATATTGAGAATACACAAGCGATTATTGGCTTAGATATTCACAACTTTAAGATATGATCTTAGAGGTGTTTGTTTTACGTTATAAGGGAGATGCTGTCAGAAATCAACTCAGAGGTGATAAACTTATTTGCAGTCTCAGTGTGATGAAGACCATCCCAAAATACATATTTAGATGCATTAGGACATAATCTTACAAAAGTCTTTTTATTATTATATGATGTAAAGGTTTTCTCTAGGAAGCTCGTCCCAAAACAAATCTTTCTTGTTTCAGAAAATCCTGCAAATGAAAGAGTACTCATGTTACATGACATAAAAATTAAAATAAATGAATAAATGAATTAGGACATAAGGGTTGGTAGGATAGTTCAATGGATATGTTTTATTGAGTTAAGTTAATGTAAATTGTTTGTATAAAATTTAATTTCTGACTATGTTATTTATTTGTATTTATATATTAATATAAATAAATTGTTGATATTTATAATAAATATAAAATTTTAATGTAAAAATGTTTTGCACTCACAATAAAGCATAATTGTTGGTTTATAAAATAGATTTAACTTTAATTATATATATTTTTAAAGTCATTCATTTGATTGTTATTTATTGATATTTTTACACCAAGAATGTGCTTACACATCAAAATTACCATTTTCAATAAGAATTTTTTTATGTACTTAAAAATATGTTAAAATATAATTATACATGCAAAGAAATTTGACTATAAAAATGTGAGTTCGAACTCATAATATCTTATTTATTTTTAAAAAGTGAGTTCGAACTCATAATATCTTACTTATTTATTTTTTAAAAATGAATTCCCGTCTATTAGTCTACTAAATAAAAAAACATATAACTTATCATTATGAAAAGATAGATTTTGTACCATACTCCAAGGGTTTAGTGACTAGGTTATAGACAGGTTGATAGCTATCAAGCAACGCCAAATTGAGATCAGGAAGCATTTTTCTCAAGTTCATGGATGTGGAGTTGAGCTTTTGATTACAGCTAAGAGCAATATTGTTCAATTCCACTACACATTTATTGCTATAGGCAGATTTAAACACAGTAATGGCTGCAGGCAAGCAACCTATCGCACCTACTGAAATCACACCAATTTTTCTTGCTCCTTGTGCATATAAATTCTGTCAAAAAATATATATAATTAGAAATTAATATTATTTGTATATATGATTTACATTATTTAAAAAATATCATAAAATTTATGCTCCTAATCAATGATGTTTTAGAAAAATATGATATTGCATCCATAATTTTACTAAAATGTTTAAAACTTTGGTTTAGATATACATGTATATATACCTGGATGAAATCCGCATAATTTTGTACAAGAATGTCTGTGAATTGATCAGGAGTATAAACTAGGCGAAGCAATGGATTTATGTAATAATTCAATAAAATATCACCACTTCCAAACCCAACAATATATAAAGCACCATGTATAATAGATAATGCATCTGATCTCCCTGCAATTTTCATTAATTCCTTTTGATACTCCTTATAGTGTTCCAGTTGTTGGCTCAATGACAGCGAATGCTACAATTCATCATTTAACATTAAGAATTAATTTGAGTATTTACTATTAATGAAACATATTACTATTCTAATCTCAAAAATAATAAAAAATTAACTAAAACAATTCATGTATTTCGAATCAAATACATTAAATTTTTTATAAACTTTTGCTTATATTTGATATCGGAGAAAATATGTTTTAAAAAATTTAAATATATTTACGTATAATTTGGCAGTAGAGTCAAGATAACCAGAACCAGCTGAGGCAAAGTTGGCCCCATTCAAGATGTTCTTTCCTTTGCTATATAAACTGAGATATGCAGGTTGATAGGAGATAAATCCGAGAATTTCAGCTGAAAAAAATAAATTAATAAATAAAATGTTTATTAAAGACAAATAAACAAGATGATAACAGATATACACACTTTAATAAATAAAATGTTTATTAAAGACAAATTTATTATTTTGGTTATATTTCATTTACGCACTTTTTAATCTCAATAAATTGTAAAATCATGCATATACATTTAGCCATTTTTTAAAGATTTTATAACTTTTAGGAATGAAAAATAATTTCAGAAACTAAAAACAAAATTTATGACTTATGATAATTTAGTTTTTGAAGGGAAAGAAAAGCACATGCGAAGTCACTAATAAGTTTTCCATTGGAAAATCTTCCGGTTGGAAAGTGATTTTCAAAATCTCTTCCATAAGGAACAAAGTTTGCTTTAACCAAAGTTGGTAGATAATTGTTATTCCCAACATCAAGAATAGAGTCTCCAAAGATGAACAATGCAGGGACTCGAGGTTTTTCATTATTGGAGACTATAAGAAGAAAAAGAAGAAAGAAAATAGATGATAAAACACTTGAATAACCCATATGTTTTATGTCTATGTGAATGTTCTCTTTATGAAAGTACATGTTGGTTTTATAGTACTCTTGTTTTAATTTAGAAAATACATGTCTTTTTATTTATAGCATTTATATTTCTTCTGTTTTAAAATAAATGATATATTTGATTGTTTTCACATAGATTTGGAAAAATGCATAAAAAAAAGAGAGTGATATTTTTCTTTTATAATTATCTTTTATTATTTTAAGGAAATTAAATAAACTGTGAATCACAAGTAAATGTTTAATATTAAACTCTGCAAGTTCAAATTAGTTTTTTTAATAGCAAACTACACTATTACAAAATATATTTTTCGTAACATGTCATTACCTCGAATATTCAATAAACCGAAGTAATAGGTGATATTTAGGCGTCTGTATTTTTTTATTAAAAGACGTTTCACTACAGTCTTTAATAACAATAGTGGTGAAAAGTAGGAAGGCGTCACTTTTAACCGCTACTAGAATGTGGTTTTGGTTGTTGTTGTTGTTGTTGTTATTCTTATTGTTGTTGTTTTGTTGTTGTTGTTGTCGATGTTGTTGTTGTTGATGTTGTTGTTGTTGTTGTTATCATTGTTGTGGTTATTATTTTTGTTTTTGTTGTTGTTCTTGTCCATAATAATTTTCAATTCCAAATTTCAAAATTTTTTTCTTCCATATTTGCGAGGGGCCACCCCACGTGTTTGATTTATATAATTTTTCTTAAAATATTTTGTGCATTGCGAGGGGTTTAACCCCAAACAATGTTGTTTTTTTATTGAGGGGGTTTACCCCTAGCAAAATCCTCTAGCTATACAAGATTTTTCTTGTAGTAGTTGTTGTTGCTCTTGCGTTAAAAATATTTAATAATATGTATTATGGTAAAAGTTATCCATGTAATCCGGCAAAATATAAGATTTTTCTTGTAGTAGTTGTTGTTGCTCTTGGTTAAAAATATTTAATAATATGTATTATGGTAAAAGTTATCCATGTAATCCGGCAAAATATGTGGTAAAAAAATGCTGATTGATCTTTCACCACGTGTATTTACAAAAATCGTGGTTATTGGTAGCACGTTTTTCAGTTTTCTACCACGAGCACTAAACCATGGTTGTAAATAACTCGTATACAATCACATTCTATCTAACAACAATTGTTCGACTGTTATTATATGTTTTTTGCAACTGTAATTATATGTGTTTTTCGTAGTAGTGACAAAATAAACAGGATGATATGTTTTCCAAATCCAAACATGTTAAATGTATACTCACGCACTTTATGCTTATTATTGAAAATATTTTTGAAATTTATATAAAAAGTGTGCCACTTACTCGAGGTGAAAGGTACATTTTTACCTAAGTTGGTAATAATACACAGGGTGATTTACTCTATTTACATCATTTTTATTTTAATATGCAAAATATTAAATTTATTAATAAATTTTGAATCTTCCTCATCATCAGTTTGATTTGGTTTTGTTAAAATATTGTTTAATTTTTAAAATTTAAAAATAATAAAATTTATTTGAAAATCTAATTTTATATACTTATTTTTGAAAATTATTATTCTTTTTGAGAGTTTTAAAAACTAAGATAGGAATTAGAGGTTTTAATTTTTTTTTAATTTTGAAAGTTACAAAGAAGAATAAACAAGAATTTTGATATGCTTTTTATTAATTGTAAATTTGTAATATTGTACAATTTTAAAACAGTTTTAAAAGTAGAATTACTAAGCACTTTTCTTCAATAACTCTTTTTTAAAATTTATTTACAAAATAAATTTTAAAACCTAAAAACTAAAACTCATTCCAACAAGCTATAAATCTCAACAACAACAACCACCGCAAGAACAACAAGAAAGTTTTAGAATCGTTAAATAAAGCTCAACAACAACAATAACAACAATAAATAAACAAAATCAATAAAATCATTAAACATTAAATCTCAACAACAATATTAAAAAAGTTACTTGACACAACTACAACAACTAACGTTTTTCACACTAAAATTAAAAAAAATTAATAAAGAATTACAAGAGAAGACATTACATTAAAGATCCATCTCATAGAATGGTGTTGTACTTCAAGCATATGTTTTCATTATCATTGTTTTCATTTCAGCATTTTGCATCCAAGATGAATCATTGTGGCATTCGGATCACTGTTGTTTCATATGGATTGATGAGTTGACAATGTCTTGATCATTCTTACTTTATAAATGGACAACAAATATTTGTTTCTTAATTTTTATTTATTTATCAAATTGGACAAAAAAATTTACTCACGATTGATTAATATTGTTCCCTTCAATTTTCAGCACGGCAAAAGGTGTGTCACTTTTATATTTTTTTTTCTCTCAATTGTTCATTGATTAAGGTGAAAGATTCATCATAAAATATATTATTTATAGTATTGTTTATTTTATCATAATTATTCATTCATCTCCAATCCTACTACTAGAATGATATAGGACCAATAAATTTATTTTTTAAAACTAGATATTGTTGTTTAGTTTTTAATTTGTGGATTTTTTGCAATTGACGTGTTTTAAAAAATTTGCTTATATTAATTATTAAGTGTTATAGCTTATGCATAAATTTTATAAATGTTATATGATGTTTAAAAAATGAAATTGTGATGAATTGGGTTACAATATTTTTGGAGTTGATATAAAATATTAAAAACTATAACTCAATTTCTAACTCTGTTAGATTTTGATAGGAAAACTTTGAGTTGGATAATGATTCTGTTAAACAGATTGTATAATGGATTAGTTCAATTCTAATCCAACCCAATTCATCTATACTCCTATATATACTTGTCGCATAAAGTTTACTAACAATGTGAAATTTTAAAAATGAATTAACTATAATATTTTTAAATAATTATTATTTTTAATAAAAATATATTCAATATTTTAAAATCATGAGATATTCAGTATTTATTAAATGTGTTGTTTTTAATAAAATAGTATTTATATATAAATTTATATTCATTATAGAATTTATTGGATGATGTCAACCCTCTAAAAAAATTATAATTGATTTAAGAGTTTAAAATCCATAATTACCCTTGAAAATACTTTGGTTTATTAACAAAAAGGATTTAAAAATATATAACATATTTTGCGTGAACGTGGAAGATCACCTAACAATATCAATGCAACTGTATATGGTATTAGAGGTCGTGCTATCGTTTAAATAATTTTTTTAGGAAATTTCATTTGATGAAAAATATTTGTGATTAAAAGTTGATAAAGTTTTTACCGAAATAAAAAATGTCTTTAATATTAATTTTAACAAGAGCTGCAATTGAAAATAAAAACTATGCTAAAAATATACCATTTATTTTAAAATATTTTTTTTTTCAAAAGTGCAGCAATGTGAAAATGGAATTAATTATAATAGAGATGCCAAATAGATAGAGATTAAGGACTTGTTTAATTGATTTTTAGGTTTTCATTTTTAAAAATGATTGTATAGATCAATTTTACAAAATTCTAAAAAAAATGTGTTTAGTGGTTCAATGTTTTAAAACTATTTTAAAAAAAAATAATAAAAACTTGTTTATTAACTTTTTTTCTCAAAATATGTTTTGAAAACCAAAAGTATTATTATTCTTTTCAGATAAAACTAAAAATATTACTAGTCGTCAAAGTTCTTCACTAAACTTCAAGATTTTTAAAATAGTATTTAAGATAAATTAAATATATGGTGCATTGAAATATTATATTTATGCTAACTTCAAAGAAATTAAATAAATATTTTGTACCTATGATACATGGCGGTGTTGGCTAACATTTTATATTGAACATATTTATATTTTTAGACATTAACTTATATACAATGTTTTGTAGTTTAAGATATATATGAAAAAATATATATATACACATTTTTGTAATCTAACTATAATTATGGTTAATTGACATTATAAATAATATTTAGTTTTTCAATTGATTATTTAAATAAAGAATGGTGAAAATATAAATAGAATAGTGTTTTTAAATAAATATATAGAATAATTAAATTTTAAGGATTTTTTTATAAACAAAGTTTGCATTCATTTGAAGCATTAGGTAGGAGTGTTCGCAATTCGGTTTGTATCAGTTTTAAAGTAAAATATTATTTAATTTAAAAATAAATTTATTCACGGTTTAATTTGATTTTAAATAATAGATTAAAAAAATCTGATCCGATCTGATCTAATTTAACGTAGTTGGATTTTGATCAGTGTTTTAGATATACAAATTATAAATCATAATGATCGTTTATAGTTGAAGCACATAAAATAATAAAAATAAATAGATTAAATAAAAAAATTAGTATTTACAAAATTAAGTATAATTTAATAATAAATTAAAGCAATATATCATACTAATATAAATATATATATATATATATATATATATATATATATATATATATATATATATATATATATATATATATATATATATATATATATATATATATATATATATATATATATATATATATATAAATTGATTCCAACTAAACCGAACCCTATATATATATATATATATATATATATATATATATATATATATATATATATATATATATATATATATATATATATATATATATATATATATATATATATATATATATATATATATATATATATATATATATATATATATATATATATATATATATATATATATATATATATATATGGGGTTCGGTTTGGTTGTGATCAATTTTAAAAATCAATACAAAATCCAATTTGAATGATACTATTTTTACAAAATAACATCCAAACAAATTAAATAATTTTCGATTTATTGTGATTTTTGATTTTATTTTTTATCAATGTGAGGTTTTTGTTTAAATTAGTTTGGATTTAAACACCCTTACTCCAACCCAATTTTAAGGTTGAACGACATGAATATGGTTCAAATTGAAAACATTTTGATTGTGTTTGTGTAACTAAATTTATAGTGATTATTATTATTCTGTCTACTACTATAAAAAAATACTTAGACTCT